AGAGCATTATAATAATACTTTTATTTTTTTTTTGGTACTGGGGATCGAACTCAGGTCCTTGCACTTGTGAGGCAGACAGCAGAACCACTGAACTAAATCCCTGGCCCCCATAATAATACTTTTATAATAAAGATAATTCAAGTAGACCAGACTTAAAGAAAATAAAACCTAGACAAGTCTGGTATTCTTTTCCTGTTAACTCTGAATCTTTCTGCATTTTCTTCTGTAACTTCACAGAGCAAGAGACTAAATTCTAATTTGCTCCTTGAATTGGTTTAATTCTTCTCTAGTTTCAATTGAACTCATTACATTTCTTCTAGCCTTTAAATCTTCTGTATAAACCTTGCATTTCTTTCTGCAGTTGATTGGTTTTGTATCTTTAAGAGGGGGTTTTGTTTGTTTTGATGTTAATTAGTTTTTTAAAAAAAGACCTATTAGAAAAAAATTTCTTCTGGACAAAACAGAAACAAAAACTAATGCAATTTTTAGTGTAGAAATGCTCCATCTTTTTTTGGTCTACCTTTTTTCCACTTCAACGGTTATCTGAGTGATGGCTCCTGTTTCACTTTATTCCTCCTTGAGAGCTTCGTGCTACTCATTTTCAGGAGGTCGAGTCTATAAACCATGTTTTATTCCCCTGGTTCTCTCCAGCTGAAGTATTTTTTCCAAACTGCCCTTATTGTTGACTCTCTCAGAAACTTTTAAAAAGAGCTTATGTTTCTTTCTACTGAATTTTTAAAACAAAGATTTTGAGCTTGAGTTAAACTGATGATGATGGAAATGGGATAGAAGGGACTGTGGAATCCATTTGGACCAACTCTTTCCTTTTACCCACAAGGAAACTCATGTCCAGAGAGCTTGAGGGATTTGTGTAGAGCCTACAAGAACTGGAGAGCAGTGGTCACAAACCAAGCTTTCCATATTCGTGGAAAGCACCATACATGGCTTCAAGCTATGATTTCCTGGTTAGTAGGTTACCATGAGTTTGGTCTTCATGCTTCTCTGTGGACAGAGGCTATGAGATGTCATTGGAACCAGCCCACCCAGGTTACTGGTTGAGGAACAGGAAGGCTCCCAACGTGGTCACTGAGGCACAGCAAAGGAGCTTTTTTCCTCTAGTTACATCTCCTTGTGCTCCAGTGATGCCTTGTGATAAACTGAATCGAAATTGTTTTTTGGTAATAAAGTACCAGTACTGACATGAATGTACCTGTTTTATATCTGTTTTCTAACAGTTATATTCATTTGCATGATTAATTAGAGGACAACCAGATGGAATGAATTCTAATATTTGCAGTGACAATTTAATATTTAATGAAGAGAGAAAAGTAATCCAACTTTGAAATATTCATAAGAAAATAGTGGCTAATTCTACAGACAAAATAAATTATTCAATACTTATTATACCTATGTTGCCAGATGTCTCCAAAATGATTTCTAAATCATGTGTCTTTCCAACTCATTATCTTTTCTTTAAATGCCTAGGGTGTGAGAAGTTTGAAATTTTCCTATTTTGAGCCTCGATATGTCTTGGTGGTACCCATGAATAAGGAAAAATATGAGGGATACTTGCGGAGAAAAGGATTATTCAGTCGTGCAGAAATTGAATTTGCCATTTCCCGAGTGGACCTTTATATTAAAATTAATCAGAAATTTCCAGGTTATTTTGATGCAGTAATCAATGCAGGTCAGTAACTCTCAGTAGAGTTTTGATGTATGGTGTCACTGGATCAAAAGTTTGTTTCATGGAAATAAAATGCTTAAGGGAAAAATATTGTAACAGTTACAAAGAGCTGCAAAAGAGGCAAAAATACACAAGATCTGACTTTCCAATGTTTTAATCAGAGTATTATTTTTATTATTCTGAAAGATCCTAACTAACAAGACTTAGCATAAAATGGGCCAGGAATAGGTTTTTTTTCCTTAGGGACATGGTGGGAACAAAGTTAGATATATAATTTGAAGTAGACATTTAAATTTTTAGGAAGGCATATGAAATTCAAGCAGTTTTTATCATAATCTTCCTATAGTTAAAAACTGATTTACTAAAAATATAACTATAAAAATATCTGTATAAAACAAACATTTTCAAAAATGAACTCAGAAATGGCTACTTACTTGAAGCAGTAGTCAGTGAGAGAATTTCTTGGAATATGGAAATTTCTACATATTTTAAAACTGTATAATATTTTATATCCATAAAAAAGAATGAGAGCTGGGGATTTAGCTCAGTGGTTCCACCGCCTGCCTCGCAAGCTAAGGACCCGAGTTCGATCCCAGGTACCAAAAAAAAAAAAAAAATGAGAAAACATTGTATATAGATAAGAAATTATCTTTAAGTCATATTGGTACTTTAAAAAATCCTGATTCACAACCATAGGTATAGTATGCCATCATTTATGTAAAAAATTATGTAATTGTATTTTCTTGTACTTCTATAGGAAAATATTACTGGAAGAATTCTCAAAAAAAACTAGTACTGATTTTTTTGTTTTTGGTGGGGGACTGGAGAGATGAGGGGCATTAAATTGAATTATGAAATTATTAATATTCAACTTTTTTGATTCATAAAAACAATTTCATACAGTTCAACTTAATAGTTTTTGGTCTCTAAAACTTGTTAAGATATTACAAATTCATATTGGATTTTTAGTGCTGCATAGAAATGATCATACTTAGTAGCTTAAAGTAATACCCATTTGTTAGGGCACAGTTCAGGTTAAGAGTGTGGTATGGTATAACTGGGTTCTCTGCTCAGGGTATCCGGAGGCAGGGATGATGGTGTCAGCAGGGCTGAGTTCTCCTCTAAAGGTCTAGGGAAAAATCTGTTCCAAAGTTCAGTCTTGGTGCAGAATGCAGTTGTAGGACCAAGGGCCCTGTTTCCTTATTGCCTGTCTGTGAGAGGTTGCCTTAGTCCACAGACACCACTCCCAAGGTTTTATCTGTGTGGTGCTCACCATCTGCTAGCCACTCACAGCACATCCAGTCCTCTTTGTGCTTTGAGTCTCTGACTTTGGCTTCTCCCAACAGCTAGAGAAAACCCGGTCCTTCTATGGGGCCTCATGTGATTAGAATGGACTCACTCAGATAATCTCCCTGTTAACTAACTCAAACTCATTAATAACTTTATTTGCATGTGCAAAAATCCCATATAATATAACATAGTCACAGCAGTGACGTCTCATTAGCTCCACAGGGTCTCCACCTACGCTTAAGGGCAGAAGATTAAACAGAGGTAAAATGTTATTTGGGTGATCTTAATGCTGTCTACCACTGTATTCATAAAATTAAATGTAATGACCAAATCAGTACCACCAGCAGTTGAACATGGAGTGTATTTTGACATGATCCCATTGCATTAAAATAAATCTTTCATTTACTGTAGATGATCTAGATGTTGCCTATCAAAAGCTGAGTCAGCTCATTAGGGAATACCTGGGATTGGCTGAAGAACCTGCCAAGGGTCTGGCTCCAACTGCAGGTACTTTCCCATCTCCCTGTGCCACGATTTTTTTTTTTTTCTTGAAAAAAAATTCCAGTCTGTGAATTATTATTTGAGTACATGTCAGCCAGGGTAGAGCTGGTTTTAACTCTTTAATGGGCTATTCTTCTGGGGTGATCGTTCCACAAACAAACCGCATGAATCAGCCCTGTAGACCTGTCTGTAACTGCTTGTCTCCATGGCTGTAATGGAGTTCAGGGGACTGCCCTTCAGAGACATGCAGGGGAATCCCCTGGAAGGGTGCAGTAGATAGGGTTGTCTCATGGTTTAGAACTTAGCCTCCCAGAAGCTTATTCCCTTACAGGGATGAGGTGTGGTTCTATTCATCAGGTTTAGATTTAGTCCAGAAGTGTTCATTCCCCTTTTCTTTGAATTGCTCTTTCCTCAAAATGTTGCACTGCAGCCAGATAACCAGATAACCAAAGCACACTGTTCAGATAACCCTGGTGCTGGCCCTCCTGTTCCCTTGGGTAAATTTCTTATCTGCTCTTTGAGTTTGAGTTTTTTGTCCTGCTAAATGGACTTCTGGCTACTCCTGTTCCTACCTCATGGATCAGGAGCAGCAAATGATGTAAGATATGAGTGCATCCCATTAGAATCTAGGGTTCCTAGGCTTAGAATTTCAGTATACAAGTATTTTTTAACTGAATTTTTTTTAGTGCATGTTTGCAGTACATAATTATTATATTTATCATGGGGAGTTTGTACATGTACATAACGCATCTTAATTCTTTTTTTGTCCCTTTTCCCTCCCATCCCTTCCTGCTCCTTCCAACTCTTAATCCTCTTCCCATTTGAAAAAGCTCTATTTCCATTTGGTTCTTTGATTCTCTTTTTAAAAATCTGTTTTCCCTTCTTCCCCACCCACATCTCATGTTCCCCTTCCCCTTTGAAAAAGATTTGCCTACTTTCTATTATCTAACCTTTATTTTGCTCTTTACTTATATTTTGGGTTTCTCATATAAGGAGAAACCATGTGATATTTAAATTTGTATGTCTGATTTATTTTACTTAACATTATGGTCTCGAGGTGCATTTATTTACCTACAAATGCCTCAGGTTTATCTTCCCTTATGGCAGAATAGTACTCCATCATGTATAAATGGCATATTTTATTTACCCATTCATCTGTTAAGGGACATATAGGCTGTTTCCAGGACTTAGCTATTATAAATTGTGCTGCTGTAAACACAGGTGTGCATGTATCCTGTAATATGAGGACTTTAACATGGGAAGATTGCTAGAAGAAATAGCTGGGTCAAATGGAATTTCTAGTTTTAGTTTTTTGAGGACTCTCCATACTAATCTCCATCGTGGTTGTACTAGTTTATATTTCAACCAACAATGTAGAAGCGTTTCTTTTTCCCTTGTACCCTCACCAGCATTTGTTTTGTTTTTTTTGTTTTTTGTTTTTTGTTTTTTGTTTTTGGTACCGGGGATCGAACTCTGGTCCTTGTGCTTGCAAGGCAGGCAGCGACCACCAGCATTTGTTATCATTTGATTTCTTGATGATAGCCATTCTCTCTGGAGTAAGATAATACCTCGTTGTTGTTTTAATTTGCATTCCTCTAATATCCAGTGATGTTGAACATTTTTTGATGTATTTATTGGCCATCTGTACTTCTGAGAAGTGTCTACTTCAGTTGCCCATCTTTTTGATTGGGGCTTTTATTTTGTGAGGGGTCTAATTTTTTGACTTCTTTCCATATTCTAAATGTTAGCCCTCTGTATGAGAAGTAGCTGGCAATTTTTTTTCCCCATTCTGTAGGTTGTCTCTTCACTCTATTAGTTGTTTCCTTTGATGTGCAGGAGCTTTTAAATTTAATATAAGCCCATTTGTTAATTCTTGGTATTATTTCTTGTGCCATTGGGGTTCTCTTCAGAAAGTTCATGTATGCCTCTGTCTTTTTTTTTTTTTTTTTTGGTACTGGGGATCGAACTCGGGACCTTGCATTTGTGAGGCAGGCGCTGGAACCACTGCGCTAAATCCCTGACCCATATGCCTCTGTCTTCAAGAGTTTTACCTATTTTATCTTCCAGCAGATTGTTTCTGTTTGAGCATTTAGATCTTTGATTCATTTTTATTTTAGTTTAATACATGGTGAGATATGTGAATCTAGACTCAATCTTCTGGCTATCTAATTTTCCCAGCACCCTTTATTAAAGAGACTATTGTTCCGGCAGTTCATGTTTTTGGCCCTTTTGTTGAAGATCAAATAGTTGAATGTGCCTAGGGTTCTTTCTGCTTCCTCTCTTCTGTTCCATTGAAGCACATGTCTGTTTTTGTGCCAGTGCCATGCTATTTTCATCACTGCAGCTTTGTAATATAACTTCAAATATGGTATTGCAGAGCCTCCTATGTTGCTGTTGTTGCCTAGACGTGCTTTTGCTATTCAAAGTCTCTTCTTTTAATATGGAACATACTAATTTTTGGATTGTTTTCTCAAGGTCTGTGAAGTATGCTGCTGGAATTTCAATTGGGATTGCGTTAAATCTACGTATCAGTTTTGGAAATTTAGCCATTTTGACTATATTGGTTCTGCCTATCTAGGAACATGGGAAATCTTTCCATTTTCTGATTTCTTCTTCAATCTGCTTTTTCAAAGTGAGGTAATTTTCAGTGGAGAGGTCTTTCACATCCTTGGTTAGGTTAATTGCTAAGTATTTGATTTTTCTTGATGCTAATATGAACGGTATTGTTTTACTAATTTCTTTCTCAGTGAGTTCATTATTATATTGGAATGCTATTGATTTTTGTGTGTTAATTTTGTATTGTGCTACATTGCTGGACTTGGTCATTAATTCTAGGAGTCTCTCAGTGGAATTTTTTAGATCTTGTAAGCAGAAGATCATGTCATCTGCAAATAATAATACTTTGCCTTCTGCCTTTTCTATACATATCCCTTTTTTTCTTTCTCTTGGCTGATTGCTGTAGCTAATGTTTCAAGGACTATGTTAAACAGGAGTGGTGATAATGCGCATCCTTGTCTTCTTCTTGATTTTTGAAGGAAAGCTTTCAGTTTTTCCCCATTTAATATGATGTTGGTAGTGGGTTTGTCATAAATGTCATTTATCAGATTGAGATAAGTTCCTTCTATACCTATTTTCTTCAGATTTTTAATCATGAATGGATGTTGAATTTTGTCAAAGACTTTTTCTACCTCTATTGAGATTATCATGTGATTTTTGTCCTTCTATTTATGTAAATGAATTACATTTATTGATTTGTTTATGTTGAACTGTCCTTGCATCCCTGGAATAAAACCTACTTGGTCATGTGTATGATCTTTTTGATAATTTGTTGCATTCTGTTTGCCAGTATCTTGTTGAGGATTTTTGCATCTATGTTCATTAGAGAGATTGGCCTCAGAGTTCTCTTTTGGTTAGACTCTTGTCTGGTTTTGGAGTCATGGTAATGCTAGCTTCCAGGAATGACTTTGAGAGCACTGCTTCCCTTTCCATTTCATTAAAGAGCTTCAGGAATATTGGTGTTATATCGTCTCTAAAATTCAGTAGTAAATTCATCAGGTCCTCAGCTTTTCTTAGTTGATGGGGTTTTATTACTGCTTAAATTTCATTGCCTGTTATTAGATTATTTGAGATTTTTAAGTCTTTTTGGCTTGTTTTCATAATTCATATGTATTAGGAATCCCTCCATTATTATTATTATTATTTCTTCTTCTTCTGCTGCTGCTGCTGCTGCTGCTGCTGCTGCTTCTTCTTCTTCTTCTTCTTCTTCTTCTTCTTCTTCTTCTTCTTCTTCTTC